ACGCATCTAAAACGAAAAGCCTGGTGCTTTCTCGTTCTCCTGCCCGTTGCTCTCTTCAGATTAACGGAGACGCAGTGGAGCAAGTGGAGAAGTTTAAGTACCTCGGAACTATATTTACTAGCGATGGAAAGTTGGAGGAAGAGATCGACCGGCGAATTGCAGTAGCCATTGGCGTTCTGCGTGAACTAGCCCGACACACTGTGACTAAAGCAGAGCTCAGTCTGAAAACTAAGCTTTCAATATTCAAGTCGATCTTTATCCCCATACTTACCTACGGTCATGAATCGTGGATCATCACTGAAAAACTTCGAACCCAGGTACAAGCTGCTGAAATGGGCTTTCTTAGACGAGTAGCTGGCCTTACGCGTCTCGACATGGTCCGGAATAGTGACATCCGGAAGAGATTGGATTACAGCCTTTGCTTCTCCAGATTGAGAAGTCACGGCTGCGATGGTTTGGGCATGTGTTGCGAATGCCTCCAGAAAGGAAGGCTAAGCAACTGTTCCTTGCAAATCCGACCGGCTAAAGGCCCAGGAAACGGCCAAGATTAACCTGGTGCAAACATATGGAAGGGATCTGTTCCAGACTGAATTTGTCTTCTGCCGAAGCTCAGACTCTGGCACAGGATCGGGAACGTTGGAAGCACTGTCTTGACGCGTGTGCCTCGGCGACCCGAAAGTAGAAGCGGCGATGGAAGATGAAGATGAAGCATTTTTGAATCTAGTACTGCTATTGTATTGTATAAATGTCATTAATTTTATTCTTAATCATGATATCGAGAATGCGTTTCACTGAATTAGATGAAACTATTTCCAATGAAGAAGGATTCATTGCGTTCCTTTCATACTGCAGAATTCTCCCATGTTCGCAAACGTACCCGAATGACCATCGAATGTAACTACTAATATCAGCCAATAAAGTTTATTATAAAAAATTATTAGTTGAGACCGTCCGTTCTGAGAAGAGGACGAATAATAAACAGATTCAAATTACATCGCACCAGATTCACTCAAAAATTTGCATTAAATCTTAACTGCATCTGCCCAAAAGTCTAAAAAATTTCTAAATGGAACGCTGAAATAAATGGGATACTGTAGACCACTTCTATTTGTTAGTATAATGCATTTTGACTGTATTATAACACTGCGGTGTCATCTCAAAGGCAAATTTTTAATATATACAAGCTCAAATGGGAAACACTTACTTGCAGGCAGTGTGCTAGATTGCAGTACGCATCAGGAAAATCAGGCTTCAACTTCAGCGCTGTTCGGTATGACTGTATGGCTTCAGGTATGTTACCGGAATCCTGAAAGTGCTCATTATGAAACATGATCGGTTGACTTAAAACCATGTCACTTTGTGAATGGAAGCTAGATTGCTATGTGCGTCTGCGAAGGCCGGGTTGATTTGAATGGCTCGGGTGTAGCACTGCAGCGCCCCTTGAATATCACCCATCTCCTTTAAGGTGTTTCCCATGTTCGAATAAGCATCAGCGAACGTCGGTGCGATGCGAATCGCTTCCTTGTAATGCAGAATCGCTTCGTTCAGCTTCCCCTGCTGTTGTAAGATACTGGCCAGGTTGGAATGGGCGGCTGCGAATTCAGGAAAAATCTGTACAAAACCAGAAAATAGTAGTCAGTCAAGATAAAAACAAAAGTATCTAACTTCCAGCGCTTTCACATACAAGCGAGTCGCCTCTTCGATAAAGCCCTGCTCTCTTTTGATATTGGCCAAATTATTAAGAGAATCGGCATGGTGAGGACACAAGTTTAGAGCAGTGTTATAGTAGTCTTCTGCTTCAGCGATTAAGCCCTTTTCCTTCATTGCATTCGCCAAGTTGCAGTAGGCGTCTGGAAAATTAGGTTGAAGTTCTATAGCTCTGCGATAAGTGTCTATGGCAAGGTCGATGAGCCTAAAGGCACAATACCTGAACACACTGCCAGTATTTAGTACGTTATAACGATTTACCCCTGTTCGTAATAGACGCATGCCAGATTTCCGTGAACGACCGCATGACTCGGCGATAAAGCGAGAGCGCGCAGATACGCAGCTACAGCCCTATACAGCAGAAAAAAAGTTAATTCTTGTAAGTTAATTACAAATCAGTATTACCTTTCGAAAATCCTGGCTTCCTTGAACACATTTCCCAAATTTATATATGCATCCAAAAAATTAGGGTCCAATTGAACGGCCTTTTCAAAGTGATGAATTGCTAACCATATCTCATTCTGGGCATTAAACACACAACCCAGATTGCTCCAAGCAACTGCAAAGCTAGGCTGAGTCTCAATCGCCTTTAAATAGCACGCCTAAAATTCAAAATGAAATGGCTGCATCACAAAGAAAGCAAATTTGTCAACCCTTAGAGCCTAAGTTTGCCTCAACGCCTCATATTTGCACTTAATGCTGGCACTCGCTCGACTCGTCGTTCACGCGGACAACCACACATTTATTCATGTACACTTGAATCGCATCAACGCAAACAAGCAGTCGGATACCGCCGCTGAGCCAAAGCCAATAGTAGTCTTATGGACGTAAGCACGCAATCACAACCACATACCAACACCAACCACGATGCATACTCATAGTTATTAGTGATTCTCTAACGCTTCGCTCAGTCAGTGGGGGTAGCGCGAACGGCCGCAGCCAAGGAATTAATAATTAAATACAGCAGCATCTATCTCGGTCGTCTGCTATATAATAATGAAAAAAAGCGTGCAAGAAATAAGAAATGTAACTTGCGTGCAATGCTCACAAGAGTTGCTGCTTCGTTCCGAAAATTATTATACGTACAACGGCTTATGACTAGTTGAGCCTTTCAAACTGCACTCATACCCAATTTCTGTCGAACCGGTCGGAATCTTCTGAACAACGAACGCCATGTTTCCCATCAGAACATTCAAAAAATATCCAGTCATTAACCGCAGCTCTATCGCTATTGAGAAAATAAAAACCATTATTTCGTATAGAACTCTAAGTCGCTGATCCAACAGATTAAAAGCGTGTCAATGAAACGATCGTTGGCAAACGGCCATGCAAGAATGCTGCCAAATACTGCAAAGCTCCCGTAACATCATCTTCAGCAATGCCCAGTTCTGTCTGAACAGAAACGACAATACCGGCATCTATACACGCATGCAACAAATATACATGGAACTGAGTTTTCGGATTAACTGAAAAAACGACCGCCAGCTACCATCACGGAAAGAAGTGTGTATCAAATCCAAAATAAAGTTAATAGAAGCACTGGCATGTTCTGTTCGAATGAACTCACACCGAAGAGCGCAGTAACATAAGTTCGGTCTGCCTCATTAATCTAATGCGCGAACTTCTGCCGCATAATTATTAACCTTGCCCGATTATTGCCTGTTCTGACGACGTCTTGATTATTTGTTAATTGGTCTAAATCGTAAATTTCAACCTAATATACACTAGAGCCATTCTGGTTATTATGGCGATTACGGGGTGCCTGCACATTTACATTGATGACAATGCCTTAAACGTTACTCAGCAACAACATGCAACGACTACAGTGTTTGGCAGGACTATTGCAAGATGCAACTGTATATTTTACACAACAGAAAAATTGCCATTTGCACAACGTTGTTTCAAGTCACAAACACTAACGCTTTCACATTCAACTTTACTACTCACCTTGGCTTCTTCCAAGCGACCCATTGCTTTTAACAGGTTTCCAAGATCGCTCCTTACGCAGTATAAATCCTGAAAATTTATTTAAACAGACGCATCAAACATTACGAAAATATACATAAAAACAACAAAGAAGTACCGGATTATACTGTAAAGCAGA